TTTTCACTCTTTCACTACAAAACCACTTTAGAGATAGATCGTTGATGGGCCGGCCCAATTTACTGCGTTGTGTACGGTCGGGGTGATGTATTTTATAAAAGGACCATCCTATGCTTTTTTATAAAAGGGTATCGGCAGATTTGGTCCGTCAATGTATTTAGGGGAGGTTGTACCGAAGAGACTTAAAATATCGCGTAAAAAAGCTACAAATACAACGAACCGGCCGCAATATGTCTCGAAGCTATTTTTTTTGGAAATCTCTTTTCAGTGGGCATGTGCATGGTTTATACGACTTGTTACTTTGATTTTTTGAGCGAGTGCGGCTTGTTATTATGAACGACTGATCCACGGACAATGCCGAGAAATTGTAAAAACTAGTAGAATGCCCGTGCGTTGCTACGGGCTATAATACATATAAATAAATAAAACAAATTAAGGTCGTCTTCAAGGTCAAAGCTCATTTCTTTCTCAAATGTCCGGGCGTATTCGGGCATTAAACGGGCGCCATGCAGGCTCTCAATAACCAACTGGATAGTCCGGATTCCCCCAAATCCAGCCCATATGGGGATAAATGTGATTGCCCGGACTATATGTCATGTTATCTTGAACACGTAGTCCCAACACAAAAACCCCATCCCATGACGCACTCTTCCTTTTTCCTGCCGGACCCTCCCCTTCTCACTCATTTCCTGATGCAGCGGGGCATTTCTCGTTGGAGCCCTCTCCTCTAAAACCTGATGTGACCCAGCTCATCTTCACCATGGCGCCTTCTCTCCTTCAAACCGTACTTACCCGCGGAACGCCAAGGATGAGTCCCCCGCCAACCGCCTTGCTTTCCACCATGATCACCTCTCCATGTGTTTGTGTCTATTCACCACCGCCATCAGGGGGGAGGGGTGCTGCTGCTCATGACGCCCCCAAGCTAAGAAGAAGGATCTGATGTCTCTTGAATCATTGTCACATTGTACCATAACGTACAATGTCATGCATTGCGACGAAAAAAAATGGTGTTTGTTGTTGGGCATGCAATGGATACATACCATGCCCGTTATTAACTCTTGAAGCAACCAAACCAATGCATTTACCCTTCTATCCTAACCAATCAATTGTACGTGTTGATGAAAAAAATATGAACCGCCCGCTCATGCAGTTTGCTACAGATGGCATCTCTAATGAAATGCAATTTGCCACATTTTCTAAAGTAGGGATATTATTCCACTTAGACAGTCGTAATTGATTCGACCAATCCCAATCCACATTCGGCTCACTCTCAACCCTCACTCTTATCATAAAGTACATTAACTCATGTTCTAAGTGAGCCAATGACCGGCAACATTGTGGCATGCTTGCAACATGGGACAAGGGCGACAATCATCCTCTTGTCTTAGTGCTACTACCTCCTGGTTCTATATTGGACTTACCCTTCATCCGGGCTCTACCATGATGGCACGACACTCATGTGTGGCCAGGGAAAAAGAAAACTATGAATAGAAATGTTCTTCCAAAGCATGAAAAATGTCAATGTTTCTCTCCTCTTTCCTCCCTCGCGCGCACATGCCTGATTTGTGATACAAATTTATGTACCCGTGAGAAGAGCAAGAAAAAATCCCCTCACTTTCTATCTCCTACACCAAAAACTGCCTTGATGTCACAAAATTTACCAATTCTACGCTCCAATAAACCCAATGAAAGAGAGGGCATATCATGTTGGAACCTTGAGTTTCCCTTCAATACAAGTTGGACCCGCCAGCTAAATACAACATTCAAAATGTTCGGAGTTATCAGGGAAAACCAGCTAAAACGTAATAAACAAAAATCTATACAAAGAGAAAATCTAAAGCGCACACCCAATGAACGAATCAAGCTCACATGACAACTTAATATAAGCTTATTGTAGCTATTCTAATATCTGAGAAGTGCAAACTGTAAACGCCATTGTCTACTGTACGAATTCTTAAGAATAAGAGTGATGTTACTATGCAAGATACAAACTTGACAGCGACAATGTACTATGGATGCAGGATGTTGTTTATGATTGATTGGTTAGGCTAACTTGTTAGAGGCCAAAAACAAAATAAAAAACCTGTTGGCTGGTTGTGATCCTCTATCGAACGGAACTATAAATAAAGCCGCCAACGCATCATCAAGAATTAAAGCCATGGCTCTTCTAGAAAAAAAATAGTGATGTATTGAAATATGTATTTGACGGATTGAAGGGAATCATAATTGGTCAACTCATTGTATCCTTCAATACCTAAGATGAAAAAGAAACACCCCAATATAATTACATATTCTCTGACCACCCTCTACACAAGTTCACAATGAGGAAAAATGATACATTCAATTCTGGACAATAGATTAAAAACCTGTTTGCTCTATGTATCAAGAAAAACCGCTGCTAGAGTTCAACAAGTAAAACATTGCTCAAGAACGGATGTGTGATTTATAATATTCTGAAGATTACGTGAAACAGAACCTTGCTGGAGCGACACTGTTCCACATACAAATGGAAATACCCACCTTAGATAATCTTTCTGTGAAACCATCCCATATCTTCTTATTAAATTCATATGTGCTGTCACCGAATTGGAATCCATGAACTCTCTCTAGTGTTGTAAGCCCACAAAAGAAGCATATATTCGAGTTTCAGAGAAAAAAAATAAGTTTGTACCCATAACGACATAAGTTGCAAGGACTATATTGAACATAGAAGCTTCCAAAAAAATTAACTAAAAAAGGGTATCCTCTAAATCTAGCATAGATGCATAACAACTGAAAGTAACAAACATACATGCGCCATAATTTTACTAATAACTACTTGCCTAGACATAATGGGAGTCGTTGACAAAGGAGGTGGATCCACATCCTGCTATGTATGAGAGGAGCATCAGCTATGAAATTTATCTTCGAGATACTTCCATCTTATACAAGCTAAAATTAACTTGTCAACACACCTTTGACTTGAATTAGCATGGCTCTTACAATACAGAGTGTTCACTATTTTTCTGAAACCTACCTTTCTGAATCAGAATCAACAATACAGAGTGATCACTATTGAGTACTGAACTACACATAGTTTGCAATTGACGAAAAGCTTCATCAAGTATATCTGTGTATGTAGAAGAGGCCAAGGAGAGTACTCTGGCGAGAGCGTACGTCATGGAGCGAGGCTCCAGTCCAACACTCCCAGCCCTCCCATGAGGATGCCCACCATACGTTGCAGTCCTGTAGCTTGTTAATTAAGTACAAAAACGAGAATCAATACCTAAGAGAAAAGTTGTTTTAGAGCTCGCATGCTCCTCAACTAAGTAGATGACTGGAATAATACCAATGGTACACAATCTGGGTGAAGCACAAGCCTTGCGCGTCCTCCACCATGCTCCTCCTTCTCCTCTAAGTCCAGAGCACCGGCCGGCCCCGTTTTCGTTCTGCCTAGGTATAGTCTGCCGAGGTGGCAGGCTAGCAGCAGCTTCGCGACAGCCTCCTCCGAGCTCCAGTGAACTGGCAACGTTGGTGCCAGCGCGCGGCGCAGTGGAGCTTGCCCCCGGCAGAGCTGATCTCCGAGTCCCACATGGCACCTTAGCAAATTACGATCTCGTGTCGCGTCAAAGAGGACGACCATGGTAGTGCACGGCCGGGTAGGGCATGGCGGGGACGACACGTCTGCCCAGGATGCGGTTTTGTCGGCTGGCGAGTAGCTGGTCGGAGGTGGCCGGCATCGACGAGAATGGCACGGTGCCGTCACGATCGGACCCGACTGTCGAATGGAAGGAACGCGCTGGCAAGGCGATCCGGCGCGTCCACGATGGCTGCACGAGGCAGCGCTACGCGCCCGTGGCCGGCAGTAGGTGCACCAACGAGTTCTGCTCTGCTCGCCCTACCATGTGCACATTCAAAACTCACCCGACCATGTGCACATTCTCCGCCGCCGCCGCGTCTGCCTCGTCCAAAACAGCTTGGGGGAGAGACGAGGAGGATTTGAGGAGGCTGCGGAGGAAGGAAGCAAGATTTACGGGATAGGCGGACGAAGGGGTGGGGTTTCATTCGATCGATGGGAGGCGGGATCCAAAGCGTGAGGTTTTTAGGAAGGTGATCCCATATGAAACTTGTGATTGTCAAGCATGGCACGCGTGATTAGTGATTTGTTATGAAGAAATATATATTATTTTATTATGGAAGATTATCGAGAAAATGTCGTGTCTGTATTTTAGGAAGGTGATCCCACATATATGGTGTAATTTCTGAATTCTGAATTACTTATTGTTTACATAATTGAATTGAATCAACACCTATCAAAGGAACCATGAAACAAGATCTCTCCTTAATGGGGTTTGGTTTTTTAATGGGAGAAAGAAAAACCAATGAGAGAAGGTGGGACGAAGTAAAACCGGACGAAAAAAAGCCAGACGAAAAAAAACCAGACGAAAGTGATGGGACTATTCAACCAACTCATCCATTAAAAGTAGAGATGATGACCCATGATCACGCCAGCCATGCTGCCTCTATGACCCTCCATGACTCACCAAAGTTTTCCTGGTTAATCGCCGCCCCAAATGATCACCGGGAGCACCGACGCGCATGCGCCGACTACGTGTAACTCATCCCTGCACATAGCCGAGACTTTCTCTTACTATCACCCACTGAGATCTTGAAAAAAGAAAAGGCTTGTCCCCCGTTCACACGTCCGAATCGCAACACGTCGCCCTTTCGTACCGTTGGATGCGCCGGCCGGCACCCGCCGTCTCGATCATTGATCGCTACCGGAAGGAACCGTGTGTCCGCGGCGCCGCGCATGGCGTAGAGCACGCATGCTTGACGCTCCCGCATCGCACACCGTGTCGCGCGCTTCACCTACTACGTGCTGCACGGGGCCTATATATACACCTTCGATCGCTCTCCATTTTCCGCAGCACACTCGCACGAACACTTTGCATATCCTAGGAGCTCAGTCTGTCATCTACTAGCTGCTTCCTCTTTGCTTCTGAAGAACCCAAGCAGGTATGGCTGCCAAGGCGACCCTCGTCTGCTTCATGGTCATGGCCCTCGCGGCAGCGCTGCTGGCGGCGCCGGGCGCGGTGGAGGCGGCGACGTGCAGCCCGACGCAGCTGACCCCGTGCGCGCCGGCCATCATCGGGAACGCGGCGCCGAGCGCGGCGTGCTGCGGGAAGCTGAAGGCGCACCCGGCGAGCTGCCTGTGCAAGTACAAGAAGGACCCCAACCTGCAGCGCTACGTCAACTCCCCCAGCGGCAAGAAGGTCTTCACCGCGTGCAAGCTGCGCCTGCCAAGCTGCTGAGCGATCGACCCGTGAGCTCCATGCATCCATCTCCATCTCGTTTTGCACGTACGCTACGTGCGGTGTGGGAGTGTGGCATGGCATGGCTTTGTGATGTCACTTGAGGGCGTGAGGTAATAATAAATCGCACGAGAGTGTTATATTACGTATAAAGAGAGAGTGGAAATAAATCACGCTGATCGATCGATCGGTCATGTACTCTCTGTGGTATGGACCGAGTTGCCTCGACTTGTGTTATGTCAGTGTGAGTGTGACGATCATGTACTCTGTGTGGCACCATATGGTTGTACCAGCTATAAATATCCTGTTCTAATGTCTTGCATACTTTAGCCAAGCTGGGTGGCAGCCGATCCATTCGTCGTCGTTTTCGTCAAAATGGAAAATGAATCTGGAGAAAATAAGTGACGAACAAATCGAGCTGTCAGATAATATGATGCTCCCGTGTCCCTCGTTTGGGCAACACGGGCCAGAACAGAAGAAACCCAGGGGGAAGAGAACCCTAGCAGCCACCACCACGTTCAGAACAGAAGAAGGGATCCAAAGAACCATCGGAGATCTTCTTAGTTTTGATCATTTCATCTTCATCATCATCGCCCCCTTCACCTTTGTAAGAGGAATTTCAAGTTGCGAGAACAATTGTACTCTATTCAATCTCATCTGGATATCAAAACTATTTGAATTGTCCATTTCATCTTCTTGTGGATCTTCACGGTATTGTCTATATGGATTTCAAGGGTTCTATCTCTGGAGTGATTGATTTCTCTCTTATGATGCGTGAGTAATCCCCCATAGGCGTGGGAGATGTAGGTGAGTGGTAAGATTCATCTATGCCTATTCTATATGTCGTCATTTGTATTTGTAGTAGTATGATCTGTCTAGTATGTTGTTATACTGTGGTGAACCCTATATGTGTGTTCAATTTAAGGGCCCAGGCAACACGATCTCAAGACCTACGCAGGTAACACATATTGTTTGGGAAATCTGTGACCTCTGACGTGACAAGTGGAGATATCTATGAGGACCGAAGACAATATGAGATGACGGTGATCCGTTACACCTAATGCTTGGTTCCGGTCCAAGAACCTTAATTATGGAAAGGACCACTCTGTGGCAACGGTGAAGCAGGACCATAGAATGAAATATAATCCCGCGTAGAGGAGTTTCATAACCTTAGGGTGATCCGCCTAGAGAACACACATATCAAATACTATGAGTATAATGCAAGGTAACTGGTATACCATCGCACTGGCACACTTGATATATTCTTACCATGAACTGAATTCTCTCTGCGCCTAATCTCTTCATTGCAGAAAACACCGCTCTCAATTTCGTTTACGTCATTTACTTATAAGAGTTTTTACCTTCGCTACTGTAAACCTCTTACCCTTGTTACTCTGGTTTATTCGTCTACTAGGACAGTAACACTTTATTGAAAAACTAGGACAGTAACAATATTTACAGAAGCTCAAGCAGTTACTTCACACAAGAACTATGACACCTTGTGTGTGACAGAAGCGCCACTATAAATACTTTCATCTACTCTTCGTTGGGACGATAACTAATTGAGATACTTCCACGAAAGTGCCACATAACCCCGTTTGGATTGCAGGCACCAATAAGCGCCATATTTCATCGGGCCCTCACATGAAGCTAGAGCAGGATAATGCATGGTACCGAGGCGAGACATTGCGGGCATGGCAAGGCATGCCAATGCGCTTGGAGGATGCCATGGATTGCGGCAACCGCACGCACGGTGACCATTCTCCAAGCAACGGGAGCATCGAAGCAAATCTCTTAGTAAGTCTCATGGTGCCCAGGAGTGAGGCATCTGCATCATGTACCGTGTAGCCAAGCAGGGGATGGGACCAGGGAGCCATCGTCGGGGCTAGCCACGTCGAGAGGCATGGACCCCACTGGGGCAACACCTCTTGCCACCCCCACTCGCCGCCGCCAAACACCCCATGCCCGGCTGAGTGAAGGCCCGGGCCGAGTCCTTGGCAAAAATCGGCATCATAGGGGCCAACACCACTTCATCATGATCGTTGATGCCGTCGGCAGCGAGCGAGGCCCATAAGCCAATGACTCATCCTGCCCCTAGCCCAGACCCACCGTGAGCGCAAGCCAAAGGGTAGCCATCGACGAAGGGGAAGCGGCGCCATTCTGATCTGGGCATGGGGAGGCGGGGTGACGACCACGGGGGCCAAATCGCGGGCGGACGATGCTCGCGGCTTGAGGACCCAGCCTGAGGAGGCTTCGACAAGAAGAACAACTATGACATTAAGGGATGACAAAGTCGGAGAGGAGTCCATGACAACAGCTAGGGAGACCAGGAGATGTCGGGGCGGGGAAGATCTGAAGGAAATATGCCCTAGAGGCAATAATAAAGTTGTTATTTATATTTCCTTATATCATGATAAATGTTTATTATGCATGCTACAATTGTATTAACCGGAAACTTACATGTGTGAATACATAAACAAAACTGAGTGTCCCTAGTATGCCTCTACTTGACTAGCTCGTTAATCAAAGATGGTTAAGTTTCCTGACCATAGACATGTGTTGTCATTTGATGAACGGGATCATATCATTAGAGAATGATGTGATGGACAAGACCCATTGGTTAGCTTAGCATTATGATCGTTTAGTTTTATTGCTATTACTTTCTTCATGACTTATACATATTCCTCTGACTATGAGATTATGTAACTCCCGAATACTGGAAGAACACCTTGTGTGCTATCAAACGTCACAACATAACTGGGTGATTATAAAGATGCTCTACACGTGTCTCCGAAGGTGTTTGTTGAGTTGGCATAGATCAAGATTAGGATTTGTCACTCCGTGTAACGGAGAGGTATCTCTGGGCCCTCTCGGTAATGGACATCACTATAAGCCTTGCAAGCAATGTGACTATTGAGTTAGTTGTGGAATGATGCATTACGGAACGAGTAAAGAGACTTGCCGGTAACAAGATTGAACTAGGTATGATGATACCGACGATCGAATCTCGGGCAAGTAACATACCGATGACAAAGGGAATGATGTATGTTGTTATGCGGTTTGACCGATGAAGATCTTCGTAGAATATGTAGGAACCAATATGAGCGTCCAGGTTCCGCTATTGGTTATTGAACGAAGATGTGTCTCGGTCATGTCTACATAGTTCTCAAACCCGTAGGGTCCGCACACTTAACGTTCGATGACGATTTGTATTATGAGTTGTGTTTTGGTGACCGAAGTTTGTTCGGAGTTCCGGATGAGATCACGGACATGACGAGGAGTCTCGAAATGGTCGAGAGGTAAAGATTGATATATTGGAAGGTTATATACTGACACCGGAATGGTTCCGAAGAGGTTCGAGGATTTTTCGGAATACCGGGAGGTTACCGGAACCCCCCGGGAAAGTTAATGGGCCTCATGGGCCATAGTGGAGAGAGGGAGGAAGGCCACAATAGGTGGCGCATGCCTCCCCCCTTCCCAATCCGAATTAGAAAAGGGGTGGGGGCACGGCCCCCCCTTTCCTTCTCCCTCTCCCCTCTTTCCCTTTTCCCCTCTCCGTTGGAAGGAAGGGGGCCGAATCCTACTAGGAATGGAGTCCTAGTAGGACTCCCCCCCTGGTGCGCCTCCTCCTGGCCGGCCACCTCCTCCCCCTCTCCTTTATATACGGGGGCGGGGGCACCCCAAAGGCACATCAATTGTTCTCTTAGCCATGTGCGGTGCCCCCTCCACAGTTTACTCCTCCGGTCATAGTGTCGCAGTGCTTAGGCGAAGCCCTGCGCGGATCACATCAACAACTCCGTCACCATGCCGTCGTGCTGACGGAACTCTTCCTCGACCCTCTGCTGGATCAAGAGTTCGAGGGACGTCATTGAGCTGAACGTGTGCTGAACATGGAGGTGCCGTACGATCGGTACTTGGATCGGTTGGATCGTGAAGACGTTCGACTACATCAACCGCGTTAACCTAACGCTTTCGCTTTCGGTCCATGAGGGTACGTGGACACACTCTCCCCTCTCGTTGCTATGCATCTCCTAGATAGATCTTGTGTGAGGTTAGGAAATTTTTTGAAATTGCATGCTACGTTCCCCAACAGGATCATTCCAGCCGGGATGGCGGCAACAATGTATGGGGGGAGGGGAAGCTGAGCGATGGTGGTGAGCGCCCACGCATCACTTGCGAGGTCAGGAGAGCCTCATGCTTACCTGCGCGAGGACATCCTCTTGCTATTGGTTGCTCAAGGAACCGCCGAGGACCTCATCGGCCGTGGGAGGCTGAATGAGCGGAGGTAACCTCGCAGAAACTCGGAACGATCGAGAGTCCAGTTGGGAGGGATGGAGAGAAGACACCGCGGGGCTTCCGGATCCAGGCTGTATGGAGGTAGTCGAGGCCGGAGGGAGGAGATCAGGCCGGTGGCGCCTCGCGCACGCCTGACACGCCCCTCCTTGCAAGAGCTATTTTGACATATTGTAGCTTGTGGCTTTTTTTGCGAAATTTGTAGCATGTTGCTGCACTAATGAAACAGGATGAAAACCTCATTTGAAGGTTTTTCAAAATTCTAACAAAAATATGTTATGTTGGAAACGTGAGGTTATATAAAATATGTGAAATTTGATATTGAGACCCATATTTATTTGCATTTTTATGCCTCCCAACGAATTTGATTTTGAACATGAAACTTTACAAGTTTGTAAAACACCATCTCTTCAACATACCGTATTTTTTTTCCAAAATTTTAATATTCTTGGTAACATACTTTTCACTTGATTTTAGTTGGTCTCCATCGTAACTTGGATTTCACCTGATTTTATTTGTCGTTTTTTGAAAGATCTAGCTTTTGCCGGTTTCACTGATTTAGCAGAAAGCATGCCGAAAACAAGTGATGATCAAGTGATCATAGATAGTACATGGAAAAAATGAAAGAGGAAAAGAAAAAAGCAACTACTAAGCCTCTATCTCATAGGCAGATCCCCAAAAAGGGGCTCTAAGTTCTTTGCACCCGC